CAAAGCAGCGGCGCCGCGCGGCAGCCAGCGACTTGGCGCTAGAGTCGGCGCGTTCTCTCCGGCGGCAGCTTTTCGCTCCCTCCTTCCCCGCCTCCTCCCCCGCGCCTCCCCCGCCCACCTTGGTACCTGGGATGCTGCTGCGGGGCGGCGCGGAGGGCTGGGCAGCGGGGGGGAGGCGGCTCTTTGTCAGGCGTCAATGGGCCGCTCGGGCGGGCAACAGATGGGGCCGGGGAGATCACAGTAGGGGGGCGGCACTTGGCTTTCCCCTGCCCAGCTGCCTGCTGTGGAGGATTGTTCGGCCGCTTCCCCGGCCAGCGGAATTCAAGTCACCAGGGACTCGCTTTTTGCGTCACTGCCAGACTCCTGGCCCATTTCTGAGCTGCTGGGAAGCAGGGCACGGCTTCAAATCCTTCCCCCGCCTTTTCAGAGGCCGGTTAGCCTGCTTCTAAAAAAATATACCGCTTCAGTGTTACTAGCTGATCTTATCAAATATACTGTACAACAGTATAGCACAGTTTGATAAGATCAAGTTTCCAGAGGAGACCCAAGCTGGAGGGCAGGGGGTTGCTAACACTCGTTTCCAGAGGAGACCCAAGCTGGAGGGCAAGGGGTTGCTAACACTCTGGAGGACAGAGCTAAAATTCAGAGAGATCTGGATAAATTGGAGAACTAGATTGTAGACTACTAACTGACTTTCAACAAAGACAAAGATAAGGTGCTACAGGCAGGAAAGAAAAACTAAATGCATAAATACAAAATAGGGCTAATTGGCTTGGCAGTAGCACTGCAGAGAAGGATCTGAGAGTTGTGGTGTATGGTAACCTTAGTCCATGCAATACTGCAATGCAATACTGTTGAAAAAAAAAGATACAAGGTTTGGATTGCATTAAGAGAGGCATCATATGCAAGTCACCGAAAGTGATAAAAAAAACCACTCAATTTGGTGCTGGTTAGGGCCTAACAGGCCTTAGCTGGAGTACTGTGTCCAATTTTGGTCACCAATGCAAGGAAAAGATGTAGAGAAACTAGTAAGGATCCAGAGGCAAGCAGCAAAGATGATCAAAGGGATGGAATACAAGCCACACAAGCCAAGGCTGAAGGGACTGCATATGTTTAGTTTAGAAAAGAAGAATAAGGGGCAGTACATAAAAACTTGAAAGGCTGCCATAACAAAAATGGAGAAAAGTTTTGTCTTGCAATAGAGAGTAGGACAAGAGACAATGGGGTCAAACTTCAGCATAGCTCATTTAGGGTATGTCTACACTACAAAGTTAGTTCGAACTAACATCCGTTAGTTCGAACTAACTTTCATAGGCGCTACACTAGCGCTCCGTTAGTTCGAATTTAATTCGAACTAACGGAGCGCTTAGTTCGAACTAGGTAATCCTAATTCCACGAGGATTAAGCCTAGTTCGAACTTACTAGTTCGAATTAGCAAAACGCTAATTCGAACTAGTGGGAGGCTAGCCCTCCCCAGGTTTCCCTGGTGGCCACTCTGGCCAACACCTGGGAAACTCTATTGCCCCCCTCCCGGCCCCGGACCCCTTAAAGGGGCCCGGGCTGGCTACGGTGCCCGTGCCAGGTGCAACCCTGCCAGCCCCCAGCCAGCAGACCCTGCACCTGGCACGGATCGAGCTACGCACCCGATGCCCCCCAGCCCTCCCCCTCTTCCCGGGACCAGGCTGGCGGCTCCCGGGAGCTTGCCCGGGACTGCAAGAGGCGGGGCCCCGCCTGGGCTAGTGCGGACATCGTGGCCCTCGTCCACGACCTCCGTACTAGGCACAGGAAAGTGGCCGGCTAGGGCAGGAGAGCTGCCAGCCTGGCCACTCAGGAGCAGGTGTGCATGAAAATCAAGGTGGACCACAGAGACCCCCGACCCTGAGCCCTGAGCTTACAATGGCCGTACTGGGTCAGACGAAAGGTCCATCTAGCCCAGTAATCTGTCTGCTGACAGCGGCCAACCCTAGGGACCTTGGAGGGGATGGACCGAAGACAGTGACCAAGCCATTTGTCTTGTGCCATCCCTCTCCAGCCTTCCACAACCCTTGGGCAGGGACACCACTCCTACCCCCTGGCTAATAGCACTCCATGGACCCAACCTCCATGACTTGATCTCACTTCCTTTAAAACTCTGCTCTAGTTCTAGCCTTCACAGCCTCCTGCAGCAAGGAGTTCCACAGGTCGCCTCTTTGCTTTGTGAAGAACAACTTTCTGTTACTAGTTTGAAGCCTGCTACCCATTCCTTTCCTTTGGTGTCCTCTAGTCCTTCTTTATGGGAACTAATGAAGAACTTTTCTGTATGCACCCTCTCCACCCAACTCCTGCTTTTAGAGACCTCTATCCTGTCCCCCCTCCGTCTCCTCTTTTCTAAGCTGAAAAGTCCCAGTCTCTTTAGCCTCTCTTCATATGGGACCTGTTCCCAACCCCTGATCGTTGTAGTTGCCCTCCCCTCTCCCAGCCTCTCTCTTCCCCTCTCCCACCTCCTTTTCCCAGTCTCCCCCAGTTTTGTTCAATAAAGACAAATTCAATTTTTGAACACAATTGTCCTTTATTTTGTACATCAAGAAGAGGGGCTAGGGAAGGGGAAGTGGAAGGAGGTGAGGGAGGAATGGGGTATGCGCCCCTGATGGGGAGGATTGGGCTGGCTCTGCGGGCTTCTGGGGTGGAAGCTCTCCTGCAGCCCCCCAATTGCCCGCTCTCCCCAGATGGCAGCCTGCGGCAAGTGCAGCCGGTCTGATGGGCGAGTGCTGTGATGTGCCCAGTGTGGGTACTCTGGGGAATCCAAGCCAGGACTGCTTTGCAAGCGGGGCACCCCTGAGAACTGTCTGTCCAGGGTGGGGGTCGGGACCCTTTAAGCACAGCTCTCAGTTAGACTGACACCAGGGTGGGGGGCTCTAAGTCCTCCTCTGATGCCCTGCCGGTACTGCTTCCGGCCATCCTTAAGCCTGGTTCAGGGTCCACTTAATGTGGACATGCTAGTTCGAATTAGCAAAACGCTAATTCGAACTAGTTTTTTAGTCTGGATCCGTTAGTTCGAATTAGCTTAGTTCGAATTAACTAATTCGAATTAACTAATTCGAACTAAGTTAGTTCGAATTAACGTTGTAGTGTAGACGTACCCTTAGAGTAAATCTGAGGAAAAAACTTCCTGCTTATAAGAACAGTAGAACTATGGAACAGATTGTCTAAGAAAGTCATAGAACAGTGATGGACAATGTATCAGTGAGTAGGCCACATAAGTGGCCCTCAAGGGAACCAATAGCCACACTGGACCCCTGGGCAAGGTGGAGGGACTGGCTCTGCACTCCTGGAAGGAGTGGGGCTGAGGGCAACCAGCGCACAGTGCTGCCCAGACTGGGGCACCCTCTCCTCCCCAGTGCTGACTAGAGCACACTGTGAAGTACCCCTGCTTTCCCAGGCAGAGAAAAGAGCTGCCTGGAACGTGCAGTAAAGGGCTCGAGGGTTGCTTTGAATCACTGGGCCCAGGGCCATCTGCCCCATTTGCCCTGCCCCCTGTCAGTAGTCCTCCTTTATCTCAGTGGGCTGCATCATTGTTGTAACCAACGTGGTGTCCTAGGATAGGGTAGTTTTGCTAATTGCACTTGGGTGCTTAGAATTTGTGGGGTGTGCCAATTGAACCATGTCGTCACTTTGACAGTTCTCACAGTCAATGTTGTGTGCAATCCACATACCTCACTTCAGGTGGCCTTGCTTTATGTGTGTGTCATTTTAGTAGTACCAGTACATGGACAGAAACCAGTGGAATCTGGCAACCCTACATGTGGGCAATGGTACACAAAATGTCTCGCAGGCCTCACATAGAACTCTGAGGGCCCATGGACCACAGGTTGCTCTCCACTAGCTCCTTCACTAGAGGTTTTCAAAAGGGTTGCCCATCTGATTTGGATGGTTTAGTCATCCCAAATCCTGCATC